AAAAAAAGCCTATTTCCTTGTTATTCCACTGCAGTACTGTGGGGAAGGAAATTTGCCTCATCTGTGAGCAGCAATACTACTCTAGGAGCTTTCTTAGAGAAGCTGGAAGTCATCAGTGTAAGCAGACAACTTTTGTAATTAACAGATGTGGGAAAAGGGAAATATTAGAACTCCAGGAGTGAGAAACTAAGAGATAAGCACTCAGACTCTGCTGACTAACCTAAGCTTTATCATGTCTTATCTATGAGACAGGGTGGAGTGGTAATATTTCCATGCCTTCTACTTTACAGCCTGCTGAAGGAGCATTTGTAAATTACTTTGAGATCTTTAGGAGATTTGTTACATGTAATAATTATAATCTCCAATCCCACCTACTGTTTCAATCTCATCTGCCCTTACAAATGAACACAGTTTATACCACTTCCCATTCTGCCATAAATGTTTCTCCATATAAATGTTTCCTTTCACCCCAGAGGCATGAGCACTTCAGTGGTGTGTGAAATAATCATATATAGCTGTGAACTGATGGCATTTTAACATAAAAAGAGCCTGGCTATTTATTCTTGTGTTATCATTTAGGACAGTGACAACCAATTTTCAAATGTTAATTTGAATAACAGGATCCATTAAATTAATACTTTTCATGCTATTGTGCATATCTGCATTCAGAACTGCTGGGTTATGGTGCAATGATGCTTGGCCTCATTTGGCTAACATGTAACTCTGGTTATAGGGTAAGACAGAGCACTGTGAAAAATCCAACTGCTTTCCTGAAGAGAGAGACATAAAAGATGCTTCACTTCTGAGAAATGCAAAACAGACAGTTGTCCCCATTTCTGGTTCAGCTTATGATACATTCCTCCTTTCTGGTCATCCTCATTGCAACAGCTCTAAAAATGCTGTATTGTTGTTTTATTTCAAGAGTGGGCAAAGCAAATAAAACAAGTTGCACCTGTTTGGGTTGTGGGTGGCCTGGGAAGCAGCTCTGCAGAGAAGGAGCTGGGGGTTCTGGTGGACAACAGCTGTCTATGAACCTGCATCCTCATGGCCAAAAAGTGTTCCTGGGGTGCATTAGGAAAAGCACTGACAGCAGGCTGAGGGAGATGATCCTGCCTCTAGTCAGCCCCAGGGAGGCACATCTGGAGTGCTGTGTCCAGTGCTGGGCTCAACAGACCCAGGAAAGCAGGGAACTGCTGGAGTGAGTCCAGTGAAAGGCTGAGGAGATAATGGGGGACTGGAGCATCTCTCTCATGAGAGAAAGCTGAGTGAGCTGGGCCTGCTCACCCTGGAAAAGAGACAGCTGAGAGGGGGCCTCATCCATGTCTGTCAGTTCCCACAGGAAGAGCTCAGGGGATGCACCAGGCTCTGCTCTATGGGGCCCAGAAATGGGACAAGAGGCAACAGGAGAACATCATACCCAGGAAGTTTCACCTGAACATGGGGAAGAACTTCCTTGTGCAGTGATTGAGCAGATTGTTCAGAGTGGGTGTGGAGTCTCCCTCACTGAGATATCCCATCTGGACACACTGCTGTGCCATGTGCTCTGGAATGACCCTGCTAGACCGGGGTGGTAGCACAGATGCCCACTGTGGGCCCTTCCAGCCTGAGCCATTCCATGATTCTGTGAAACAAGAAAGTGTGGAAGAAAGTGGAGGGTACTCACAAGTTCATTGTAAGTAGGGTCAGAACCTTTTGGAGCTGTTCTTGTTTTCCTTCGACTGACCTCGCAAGGGTCTGGCAGAAGATAAAATTCAGCATGTGCACTTGGGGCAGAGCCATCTGGGAGGTGCTGGAAAACAAGGAGGTCACAAATATGAATGTCCATGTTCCAGCAAAGAAAACAAATAAAAAAGTACCCCACATGAAATCTGGGCTTTTAGCAGACACAGAAACATGTTATATTCTCAGTATTCTCTGGGCTAAATTGGAATGCTGGTGAAACAACAAGAATTATTAGAATTCAGCTTAAAATGGAATCAGGAAAATAAAAATTAAATCATACAGAGACAAGGTAAAATTGTCTATCTTTAATATTTATATTCTGATGGAAAAACACTTAAGCCTCAATCTACTGTAACTCATCTTAATCTGATACTAAATCTGGCCTTTCCACTTTCCAGAGCAAGCCACAGAAACCGTATTTTAGACAGTAAGCTCCTATTGATTTTAACCCCTAAGCATTCATGGAGAAAAACAATTGTTTCTAAGGGTGTTTTGTAAAACATATTACTATAGAAGAGTCAGGAGCATTTCCTGCAGCAGTATGGGCAGAACAAGATTCTTATAAGAGCCTTTCCCATCTCACCCATCACACAGCTGCAATCTCTCTTTAATTTTCCAGTTCAGGTTACTGAATGATATTCCAGATATTCCATCTTATATGGTAGCAACTCGAGATCAGAGACAATCTATTAACCAGGCTCAGTCATCAGCCAGTGCTGGTGGGTGGAGAATTTTTTGATAACTTCTGAGGAGCTCTAAAGTTATTCCTAAAGCAGCATTACAATCACTCAGAAAACACATTGTATTACTTGAGGCTTGGAAAGAACACACAAGAAACATAAAAACGAAAAACTATGGAGCAGACGTCCTGCCAGCACCTGTCACTTAATGCTTGGCTTATAACTGAATACAAACCCTTGTGTTGGTTACACAGTATACAGTCAGAAAGCACAAAATGGGGCATAATATCAGTAATTGTAACAATATAATCAGCATTTTAGACAGGAATTTTACCTGTCAGCTCCCAGCCAATCCAAGACAGGATGCAAATAAGAATACAGGCAAAAAAGAAGAGAACTTAAAACATTTGGAACCCATGAACCCAGAGGATTATACAGGCACTTGCATTTATATCCCCTGCTGTAATTTTACACCTGGCTCTGAATGAAGTAATTTCTCAGATTTTGATTATTCACAATATGTGTCTGGAAATGTGGGGCTTTCTACAGCATTATCAACAACATATCCCTAGGACAGAAGAAACTGCAGTCTCCTAGCAATAAATAACTTCTCTATTGGGAAGAAAAACAGTGCTTGCATGTGTGAACAACCAGTTCTTGCACAACAAACCTCTGTTTTTTTGTTATCTGAAATGATCCTTCAAGGCAAATGATGTGGTCAACTGCAAAGCTCATTACTGCTATCATTAACACCACACAGCATCAAAGGATGCCCCACTCAAACCATTATGTATTGTCAGCACTATGGGAGTGATTAATATTCCTACTGCTAAGTTCCCCAAAGCACATCTGATTTAAAATACCCATGGGATTGAGCTGGATGAGATTCAATGGCCAACATAAGAGAGACATTAAAGGGCAGTGGAACACAAGGGTATGGGTTGCCACATTGTTAATGCAGGATATATTTACATTTATTTACAATTTACACTGTCCACTTGAAAGCCCATCTCTGTTGATCTAGGACTGTACTAAAACTTCATCTGAGCATTGCAAATAACAGTAAACTGAGCATCTCTTAAAAATCAGGAGGGAGAATGAAATACAGCCTGAAGTACCAGTCCAAGCAATCAGGATTACACCTAAATGCAATCCAGCTCTTCACTTCCCAATGAATAGGTAACCATCACTGCAACTTGAAGGTCAACTGATTTTAGTTGTTTCAGACAAAGAAAGGAACCAGGCTGAGGTGACAGGCTCCAAAGGTAATGTGGTTTGACAGGACCTGGGTGTCCAGAAGTGATTAACTGTCCAGAGGTGATTAACTGAAAAGAAGTCACATAAAATTGTCACTATGCCTTTGAGCTTTGTCATGTTAACTTACCTTCAGCCAACTAACCTTCCCCTGTCAGCTGATTCCTCCCAAAATTTAAGGAAGGCACTTTGCAGCAGTGTTTTGGCTGTATGAGATGGACTGAGAACTACTTCTTCACTATCCCTCTAAATATCAATAAATTCATGTTAAAAGAGGTGAGGGGGAGGAGAGGGTCAAGAGAGAAAATTAAAAAAGAGAACATTTCAGCCATTCAGACGGGAAACCTCAAGGGGAGAGCTGCTGCTCTGGGATATTTCAGAGCTGAAATAAAGCCACTTTTCATGAATAGTAGCAATCAGCAGTCAGACTGTTAGAGGTAATTTGATGTGCAGCCACTTGAATTCTAAGTAGACATCATAGTTCTGATTGTTGGTTTTTTCTCCCCAAGTTTACAGGCGACATTTTTCCCCTTCCTCTTCCCTTGTTGAGGAAAGGCAAACAGGCCACTCCAAACCCCACTGCTGTCCTAATTCTCCATCTGCAGTGGCACTGTTATGCCATCAAACAATCAAAAACGCTTCAGCTGAGCACTCTTCCAGCCAGATCAGGTGTTCCACTTCTCAGCTGCCCTCCCCTGACTCCTGACACGACACAATCCATCTAATGAAGGACTCCAACTGTTAGAAAGCCTCTGTCCCACCACGCACTAATAATTCAAAACTACAGATGAAGAATAGTTTTAAACCAGCCCCAGCCCTACAAAAGCAGAGTGTGGGGAGCTTGTGTGACGAGTTTATGCTGGTTTCTCTTTTGATTGGCACAAGAGCTGAATTTCTTTTCCTGTGAAGAGCCTGCTTAACCACAGGATTTCTTGAGGCAAGACTTGCAGAGGAAAGAGTTGTACTTTGCTAAACGCTTCCTAGCAGGAGCAAGGAGTGATAGTGGCAGTTTGGCTGTAATAATGCAAAAAACAAGACTGGGATTAACATGGCAAAAATCTCTTTTTAAATCATAAATAGGTGGAATTTGAAGTAAGGTGTTTTATTAAGACAGCTGACATAATAGGCAAAAACCCCCAAGTTTTGGGGAAACGAATCCTTTTCCAAGATTTTATGAGTCGAGCACTGAAATAAAGGAGAATAGAGAATAAAGGAAAATGGGGAAAACATCAGGAAAACTGGAAGAAACATCAGAAATATTTTTTAAATTAAGGATTATGACTTCTTTCATATTACAGTATCACATTTAGTGATCCCTTCTAACTCAGACTGCACTGGCTTATTTATAAATTTAGGTAAACATGAGGAATACCTGACCAAAACCACACAATCCCAGATGGGGTTGGGCTGGAAGGATCCACAGTGGTCATCTGGCCTCACCTCCCTGCTCAGGCAGGGTCACCCCAGAGCACATGGCACAGGATTGTGTCCAGACGGTTCTGGAACATCTCCAGGGAGGGATTCTCCACACCCTCTCTGGGAAATCTGCTCCAGTGCGTGGTCACCCACAGAGGAAACAAATTCTTCCCCATATTCAGGTGAAATTTCTCTCTTTGCACCGAAGAGTACCTGCTCTGGTGAGTTAATTACAGAAACAGAGCAAGATTTCTAGCAGGTTCATAAGTAGTTCTGAAATCCAGCAAACCCTCTCTTTGTTATTATTAAAGGATTAAATAAACCTCACTGATTTCTGTCCATAGTCCAGGCCAGGGGAAAAAAAAAAAATCAAAGGGTACCTTGGGAAAGCCATTTTGCACTTTACTCTGCAAAACCTTTATAGCTTGAATGCACTTGTGATCAAGCAAACAGAAAAAGCTTAAAGTTTTAAATTGAGTTCTATTTGTGTTTAATTCTGTAGTCATTTTGTTAACCCCCCAAAAAAGGGATTTTTACTTCCTTCAAAAGAAGTTACTCCCAATTTAAATTACTGTCTTAAATATTTTATTGTGTTTGCTTGCAAATAAATCCAAGCTATAAAAATCTGTAAGGCTGTGAAGGTATAAAACCAAGCTCCCAACAAAAAATGCCATAGGTTCTCTTGATATGCTTAGGGACAAAAAAAACCCCACAAAATTCCCCAGTGTTTTTGATCTGCCAATAAAAAAAATCTGAATTTAGAAGTTGTCCCAAATTTAATTTAGAAACTGACTATTTTCTTTCTTCTAGTACAACCAAGTGATGATTGAACTATTTTCTCAGAGAATGACCAGCCTACTTGACCTTGATAATGACAGATGTTTTTAATTGCCTGTATTCATGTTAAAAAATTATTTTACTTTAGAAATGTTATTTTCTTCTAAAGTCAGGCAGAAGCTGGTGAAAATATTTAAGAATTAGGGAGAATGAGGGAGAGAAAATAATACTCTAGATGTACTTCTTTCCATATCTCTAATTCAATACTGGAAATCTAACATTCACAGCCTGTATCTGTTATGACTGTGTTCCATTTTCCACTCCAGTTTTATTTTCCAAAGCCAAAAAATGTTGTTTTTGGAAAATAACAAAAAAAAAAAAAAATTGCTTACAGAAACCCACACAGATGTGTTACATCCTATATAATTTAATTTTAAATATAGTAGATGTGTCTGGGAAATAATGGACAAAATTAAATTAATTTTTCCACAAGAAATATGTTATCCTAATGACTTTTCTCCCCTGATCATTATTAATGATCCACAACTCTCCTAACCCAAGGATTCTTTGCTAGCATTACTATAGGTATAACTACTTCAAAATTTGCCATCTATTCAACTATTTGGTGATTTAGCATCCAATATGAATATTGAGCCATTCTCATATGATTTAAAAAATACTCATTTTAAAGATAATTTATTGTAAAACTTTTTAAAACTCACATCTTCCTAAGTGACATAAATTTTCCTTTTAGGTGGGTTTTGCCTCAAATTTAAACATGTCATTAGTTTCTGTTAGCGTTAGATATGCAGATCACCTTTTGTCCTAGAGAGGAACAGACTGATGGCTCCTGAACATTTGATAGTTCCAGCTGCTGTTCTCTTTTTCCCATTTTTCACTTTCAACAATCCTGACAGTAAAAACTAATGATCAACTAACT